TTGACATTCCAGTAACTGGGGAGGGGTACTCTTATCTTATGCCTATGTGCGGTTTTACTCTGCCTGCTTGTGCCTGTCACAAGTTAGAAAATGTGAAATACAGCTTCATTCTTGCTCACAGGCTAGTGTGCCCCTAATTGCTGTTAGGCTAGTTCCTTATCTTTTTCGGGCAAGGGGCAAATTCCACTACAAAACCCTCTGCATCCCTGCTCCTGCACCCCAGTCCTCTGCCCCAGATCACAACTGGTGATGTTTGAGTGCTTACTGGTTAATGGTGTCGGTTAAACTCAGCAAAGCCACCTTCTCATGAGTGGGCTGGCAGAGGCTACGCTTTTATACTGCAGAGAATGTCAGCAGTTAAATGGTTATCCTCATACATGATTTTTAACATCTGTAGTCACAATCTCCTTGTTCAAATTCCCTTCCAGATCCCACACCCCTCCTATACCTCACTCTCTTATACCAAGCTCCATTCTGCACCCATCCTAGACCCTTTATCACCTCAGTAGCTATCCTGGAAGAGTGCAGCCCTTGACCACTTACCAAATTATTGACATGCCTTTCCCCCTCCCCAGTAAAAAATTATTGCCCGCCCCTGACGTAGACGACCAGAGCCAGGAATGGTGCCTAAGAATTCAGCATTTAGATGCCCTTTATGCAGCCTGTTGCGGGGGGAGCTCAACCACATCTGTGAAAAACACCTATCACACCAGGGATCCAGTTTGACTGTGGCTTTTAGGAGTTGTTTACACTATACATGTTCAGAGCTAGCCACAGTAGTAGTAATATACTTTCTGACATGCTTACTCAGGCAAAATCCCCATGAGAACCACTCTGAGGGTACGTTTACACTGCAACACTATTTTGGGATACCTCTGGTAGCCTGCATCTTTTGAACGTGTCTGCTATCTCATTCCAGGAGGAATAAGAGATGTCTCAAAATGGCTATGTAGATGCACCAAATTTTGAAATAGCCTGTTTCAAAAAAGAATCGAAATAAGATACGCAATTTGCTCATTTTGAGCAAAGGGTGTAGTGTAGATGCACCCCAAGTCTGCCTGAGTGTAAACTGTGTAAGAACTTCAGTATCCAACCCTTTGTGAGTACATATTTTATTTTATTTTATTTTTTAACTATCCATCTCTCTGGGGTGAGGGCATACGGCTATCCAAGATGTACACATGGGAGGTGGAATGTCAGCCAATTCCAAGTCTCTGAAAAACACTCCTCTGGCCCAGGGAACTGTACTTTGGGAGAGGGTAAGTGAGGGAACAGGTACATCATGAGCATCATTTGGCCTTGGCGGGCATGATGAATCTGCTGCAAAAAGAAATGTAGTCAGTGGACGTATGAATTTCTTGTACAGCCCAGATTTACCATCAGCTTCCTGTGGCTCCTTAAATAAGGTTCCTGGTTCAGCCACAAGTTGAAGTCTTTGCGAAGCAAGGAATTCCCAGGCCTGTGTGTAGCCACAAGACTAGGGATGTAAGTAGCTAGTCAACTTGACTAGTCGCTTCCCCTTCCCCCTGCTGCCTTATTAAGAGAGAGGTAGAGAGGGGGAGCAAGAGCTGGTCCTTGGTACTGGGGGGAAGCAGGTTAAAAGCCAGTTCCTCCAGTACCGTCTCCACAGGGTTCTTGCTATATTTCAAATGCAGAAGCACCATGGAAGCAGGGAGCAAGCGGGGGACTCGAGTAGACCCCTGCTGGCCCCATGCTCCTTGTGGCACCTCCACCTTTGAAATGTAGCAAAGAGCTGGCAGGTCTCATGCTATGTTTCAGAAGTGGAGGTGTCCTCAGACTAATCAAATAGTTGATTCAAATTACATCAACTATTTGATTAGTTGATTAATCTAAATTTAACATCCTTACAGGAGACCACTCACCCAAATCCCTGGGTGTGGTGGATGGAACATTTGAAGGCAACTGCACCTGTATTAATCCCTCTGAAATCCAGAAGAGGCACTTGCTCTCAAGCTGTGGCCTCGCCTGTCATTGTCTGTGTCTCTCTCTCTCTCTCTCTCTCTCTCTCTCTCTCCATCCTGACCAGAATGTTTCCCTGCCTGTATTGTGAATTCCCCAGCCAAGGGAATATACCTAAGCAGACCTGCTTTAGTATTCTCCTCAGATATATTAAATAGTAAAATTACCACAGTTAAGATACCTACTGCTTTTTCTAACTAAGCACATTTATTCTTAAGTAACGGTATTATGAGAAAAACAGCAAGAATCCTACACTCCCTGGCGCCAGCAAATACTCTGGCTAGTGAACAGTCTATCAAACCCCACATACAGGTTTTCCTGAGGCTACAAGTTCACAGCTTGTTTTGCTCAAAACAAGAACAGACATGATTCCATGTGTCCCTTCTCTATTCAGTTTGAGGGGTTTAGAGCTGTCCAGTAACAGGTGGTGAGCAGACCAAAGGTCACCCCCACAGGACTAAGCTTCAGAAGACTTAGTTCTTGCACAACAGGAGTAGTCGAATTTGCATAGCCCTCTTAGAGATTTCCAGGGAAACCAATTTCACTTCAAAAATGTTGTTGTAGACAGAGCAATCTCAGGATATTAGAGACAAAGGTGGGTGAAGTAATTATTACCCCTACAGTTTATTACAACAATAAATAACTCCCTAACAACACCTCCCTCATCTGCTTGCTTCTCTACTTTTCCTCCCTGTGATGGAAGGGTGTTACAGGCCACTTCATCTGGAATGGTGCCTTTATGTATGTGTGATTTATTTGTGCTACTGTAAAATCTCAAGTATAATGCGCACTTCCCCCCCCCCCCCAAGTTTTTAAGGATTAAAACTGGGGTATGCATTATACATAGGAGGCAATCTGTAAAGTTGTTACCTAACCATCTCCGCCAGGCTCCTGGACAAGGGAGCTGCCCCACCTGCTGGCTCCTCACCTTGTCCGGGAGCCTGGCTGACCTCGTGCCTGCCGCGGGGGGCACCCTCCCCAGCT